GTCCAGCACCATGACCCCATCACCAACAAGGAAGGACTCCGCATCAACCTTGATTTGGTGGAGGAGGCAAGGGAGATGGTTGTACTCCGTAACACGGGGTTCAAACGGTNCTTCCAGATAAACCACATCCCCAGAGAAGATAATATGGCCGCCGATGCACTCGCAAAACTCGCTTCATCCATGGAAGTTTCATCAGGGGAACCAGCATTAGTTGGTCACCAGTTCGAGCCGAGCAGGACAGACATAAAGGCCACAAATATTAACTGTGTATCTACTGAGTCAAGCTGGATGATCCCAATCAGGGCATACCTCCAAGAAGGTGTGCTGCCAANCCTTCCAACCAGGGGATTTGGTCCTCAAGAAGGTAATCCTCGCCACAAAGGATGCACGTGAAGGGAAGTTGGGACCAAATTGGGTAGGACCCTACCGCGTAACAGAAGTAGTGAGGCCAGACACCTACAAGATCCAGAATTCTAAGGAAAAAGTCTTACTCCATCCATGGAATGCAGAGTACTTGAAGAGGTATTATCAATGACACCTTGAGAGCATCAAAGTAGTAGAAGTTGAGATTTGATTTGATTTTTAAGGACGTTATCAATGTACTTTTTTGGGAATTATTACCCAATATTACTTTTTATAAGTAATAAATCAATAAAATTTTTTACGCTATTTACTCCAAAAAGATCTTTTACATTTCATTTCAAAGGAGTATCAATACAAAAATAAGGCCAAATATCGTTCTTTCAAAAAAAAAAAAAATCAAAAGTCCTAAACACTCTAACTGCTCTCACGGTCGTCCTCCACCTCCTCCTCGTCATTATCAATATCATCAGATCCCCCATCATCACTGTTGTCTGTGGGCACGAAACGTGAGAAATCAATGTCAGGGAAAACGATAGAAACCTTTCCTCAGAGATCCTTGAAACTATCAATGAAAGCATCTGCGAGGTCATTCTCCAAGTCTTCCTCAACACGGGAAACTCTCTCCCAAGCAGCCTTCAACTTTGCTTTGGCAACAGCAGCCTCTCTGAGCATGGTCCCCCCATGGGCCTCTGCAAGCTCAGCCTCCCTGATCGTATTCCTCTCGCGGACTGCTAGAAGCTCAGCATCAAGCTTAGTTGCCCTCTCATGGGCTGCAGTAAGCTTACTATCCCTGAGCGTGTCCCTCGCACGGGTCGCCAAAAGTTCAGACTCAAAATTGGAAGCCCTTTCATGAACCGCCACAAGCTCACCCTCCCGAAACGCGTCCTACTCACGGGTCACCAAAAGCTCAAAATCAAGCTTGACAATCCTCCCTTAAGCAATAAGAAGCTCCCTTTGCACAAGGCTCATATCCAACTTCAGCTTGTCATGATTATAGGCCCTCGAAAGCAAGCAGATAGAGGAAGTCGAAGCCTAAAAAAAAAAAAGGAGATAAGAGGTTGAGAAAAGTCAAAAATACAGGAAAGAAAGGACTGGAAAAAGGGGAATAGTGGACCCTCACCTGAGCCAGGCCTTCCAAATACGTATCGACGATCCTATCGGTACCCGAAGCGCTAAGCTGAGAAACTTCGGGTCCAAACACAAACCTCCCGAACCTTGCCCTGATGGCTGGCGGACTCCCCATCATAGGACCAGCCCAAATCGGCACTCCTGTAGAAGTTCTCGCACGAGGAGGGGACAAAGGAGGGGCAACACGAGGAGACAATGAAGGTGGGGAAGATGTGCCCGGCAAGANCTGAGAAACTTTGGGTCCAAACACAAACCTCCCAAGTCTTGCCCTAATGGCTGGCGGACTCCCCATCATAGGACCAGCCCAAATCGGCACTCCTTTAGAAGTTCTCGCATGAGGAGGGGACAAAGGAGAGGCAGCATGAGGAGAGGATGAAGGTGGGGAGGATGTGCCCGGTAAGGAAGATTCTGGAGTAGCAACTGGAGAAGTCACCAGCTGAGAGGGAGGGCTCCTACTAGAGAAATGGGACACCACCACCCTCTTACTTGCTACAAGAGCAGAGAAGTGTCAGGTAAATGAAAAATACCGAGGGAAGAAGAGAATTAAAAGAGGAAACTAGCTCACCCATTTTCTTCGAAGAGGAACCACCAGATTTCTCAGAAGGAGCAACGACCCTAGTATCCTTGGGCAGGAGAGCTCCCAAATCTTTGCAAAGGCAAGCCTTGACAGCCTCCAACTTCCACTCCTGGTCTCGAGAAAGCACAGACGTGTCTGCATGGGAAGGGTGAGCATACATGTATACATATATATATATATATATTAAAAAAAAAAAAAAAATGTGCAACGTACCGGGTTTTCTAGCAGCAACCCAACGTGTTGGTACCAAAGCTCTATCGACTTCTGTAGCCCACTCTCCACCAACAAAGAAGAAGTAAGATTTTCAGCCGTCATAATTAGAGCGCGTTCCCGTAAGCACTATACCACTTCTTATGGTAAAGTAGTACCACCCCTTATTTGGTGCAGGGGTTTCGCTCAAATTGTATGCTGCATGGAACTCCATAGGAGAAACATCCTCATGGTGCACTTTTCTCCACAATGCAAGAAAACCCAGCAGAACTCTCCAACCATTGGGCGCTAGTCACTCCGGAGTCAAGGAAAAATAGTGCAAAACGCGACAAATGAGAGAGGAAATGGGGAATCTTAACCCAACCTCAAGCATCTCCTCGTAAACAACAATATCACCAGAAGAGTCATCGCAAGCAAGCTCGCCCAACTCAGCCCAACGGCACAGCATGGTCGGAAGAATGCGATAAGTAAAAACAAGCCTCGAGATATCTTTATCTAAACAAACACAAACTGGAAAGGGTACTCACTTTAGATCCGTCATCATCGAGTCCCACTTTGCCTTTACGTTTCTTCTTCCGGGGCCGTAAGGAGTAGTCCTGAGGAACTTGAATCGGAGGAGTCACAGTAGGGTCTTGATCATCAAAAACAGCACCCAAAACTTCCTTACCGCTTGCAATGTCTGGCCTAACACTTGGAGGGGTGTCTGACTGCCTTTGCTCGCCAAAACGGAGTTGCCTAGTAGCTGGAAGGGTGTCTGACCCTTCAAAATTGCACAAAACAGCACTTTTGGCACCTAAATTAGCGCCTATGGTGCCCGGATCATCGCCTGGAGCAGCGCTTAGATCAGCCCCTACACCCAGGTTGCTGCCCTACTCTTCCCGTTACACCTTGGACTGATTTCCTGCACTTTCTGCTGAAAAAATATTGTTGCCCATCGCTCGTGAGCTGCCTAGGATAGCAGAATCTGCGCTGCCCAGTGCGTCTAAGCTGTCCAGGACAGCAGAAACAGCGCCTAGGCTGCTGCCCAGCCTCCCTGCTCGCCCACTATGCATGTCTGCTACGTGCCTGATGGTCTAGACAACCCCGTTTTTTTTGCCTGCACGCGGTTGTCCAGCTCCCTGCTCTGCGCACCCAAGCTGCCCAGCTCCCTATTTTGTGCTCCAAGGCTGTCCAGCACTCCACCCAAGCTGTCCAGCTCATTGTGCTGTGCGTTCAAGCTGTCCAACCCCCTTTTCTGCGCGCCCAAGCTGTCCAGGACAGCTCTTTCAGCTCCCAAGTTGTCCAGGACTGCCCTTCCAGTGCCTGGGCAGCCCCCTGCACTCCAAGAAAATTCCTTAAATCCCCCCAAACCAGCACCTAAAGTGGCGCCTACCTCCTCCCTTTCTTCGATCTCCACCACTCCCTCTTCAATCAACATTGCCCACTTGAGAAACTCCACTAGAAAGGAAGAAATCCCACTCTTGGAAGGATTCAAGAAGAACACACTTTTTCCTCTCAAAGCTTCAACAAAATGGGTAGGATGGAGAAGAAGACTATATTTATAGTCTAGGGGTTTTTTAAAAAAAAAGATGAAAAAAGCCCAAATTGAAGATTATGGGCCCTCTTCAAAATAAAATGGGAAAGGTTTGGAGTTTGCATCAAAGCAAAAAATATACAAATGAGGAGTCAATACCTCATTCTCCAAGCTTTCCTTGAACACGAGGCATTGGGGGACAAATGATGGGTCAAGCCCAAAATGGCCCAATCTATGTGCAAAGTCTAAATCTCAATTAAGAAGCCCTACCTCATTTAAAGATCCACCAAGCCCAACATAGTCTAAGACCAAGTTAGACTCTTTGTTTAACCACATCATCAAGGGAAGAGCATGAGAATTCTTATCTGCACCACCGAAGGAAATAGTCCACCATCACCATATCTTTGACCGCGTCTCATGGAGAACTCCTCAACCACATCACTCGTTGAGAAGAGATTGGAGCTCCACCGAAATGGTTGTTTAGTCGCTGAAAAGTAGCCCCAACCTGTTAGGGAGCCACTATAAATTGCACACTCCATTAACACTTAGGAGGGGACTGATTGCTTGGCATCACACCTTGTCTGACTCTCTCTTCTCCCTCGAAGCTTGTATTCTCTGTCTCTACACCCTTAAATTAATAAAAAATCCGGCAACTAAAGCCATTCAAGAGTGGACGTAGGTCGAGTTGACCGAACCACTATAAATCTTGTCTCCTCCAATTCTCTCTTGATTTTTACTGCATTTATTATTTACACTCGACAGGTGGTGTGCAAAACTATTTTTGTGCATCATCAATTTTCATATGTGTTTATACAATTATGGAAATACCAGATATCATCCCTCTGCCTTAATGATCTTCTTTTGGTAGATCAGTTACTAACTAATGAAGCCAAGGATGTGATTTCCCCTGTCATGTTATTTCTTGTACTGAAAGTCCCTTGTTACTTTACAAGAATTGTAATGAAATGAGTCATACTGCCTAGAATAAGTCGAATCATGTGTTTTTCTGCAAAGAAAAATGTCAAAATCAAGACCGGCTCATGTTCCAACGAGCTCAAATTTGTTCTTAGGCTCGGGCACAAACGTGTTTTCAAATAGTAAAAGAATACATGTATCAAACAATTTGTGACCATTAACCAGCAAACAAATTCTATATCATTCAAACTTCACAAGACACTATAAATTATAAATAAACACACTACACAAAAATAAACCCACATATGATATCCCAACATCACAAGATATTACAAATAAACACACATATGTTCCAAATCTAGATAGTACAAACAACTACAATAGCATAAAGTTCCATTCCAATCATAATAACATACACCCAACTGTTTTACTAAAACCACACTTCAAAAGCAAAATCATTCCAGCATTATTGCAACAAAACCATCATTCCAGCAGCACCAACAAAAGCCTCATTCCAGCACCAACAAAACCATCATTCTTGCTCCCTTCCAGTTATCGCGTAAACTCCTCTTCGTCAACCTATAAATCAAGCACCAGCTATAAACTTTATATAGTCAAAAATGAGCCAAGCCCTAACTATCCGTATCGTTTAAAAGCCCTATCATCCCGCATGCAGGAGGCTGTTTACATGACTCGAATCCTTAATGCTCAAATTACAATAGAACATCCTTACTAATGTGCTTAGACCAACAACGTAATAGTTGTTGCCAGCATATGAGAGTCAATTTCTCGACGTCCCCGACATTAGGGAATGGACTGCATATGAAAATATAGCCAATGTAATACTTCAAAAATGTACAAATGGGAAACCAGTAAAAACTATTAGTGCATCATTCTCACCTTAAAGATAGTGTTTATGATCAACATTCCCTAAGGAATTTCTTTGTTTATTGACTATACAACTTAGAATTAGCTAATTCTGTTTGTAGCTTTTGAGCTGAGAGGAATCAAACGATTTTCACCAGCAAGGAGAAGCTGGCATGCCTGATAACAAACATTACTAGTCGAGACAAATATCAACTTAAAGATAGTGTCTTTAGTTTGCCATTGATTTCTCTTGATATATACTATTGTCGTAATAGATCTCTATTTGATTTCAACTTGTTGCATAGCATGGAGGTATGCATAAGGGTTTTGTTGAAGTTAGAAGGTCTGGCCCCTTACTCTAGATTAGTTGTTTAACAATACACGTACTATTAAATTTTTTTTTATAAAAAAAACTAAGTGAGGTTCATTCCATATAAATTACCCCTGTTTTTCTCATCAATAGATGACCGATCATGAAAACAAGGGGGATCCATTCTATCTAAATGATCCCTAATTAATATATGATACACGATATACGAAGAAGGAAAGTGGAGAAAAAAATATTTAAAAGAATCTAAATCCAAAAAAGAAAAAAAAAAAAAAAAAGCTCAACTTGAAGCATTTGTTGTAAGGGAAGTTTGAGGAATTGGTACTGCTCATGAATTAGATAGAGAACATCACATCGAACAATTTGCACTAAAAAATAGCATCATATTAAGGTACAACCATTACCCAAAAGTTTTTTTACTCATTTTTCTCTCCAGAAATTCAGTTAGATTCATTCCGTTAATAACTTTACCTTTTAGATATATGGAAACAAGAAGAATTTTGAGCAAAGTCTCGTAAAATTATTTCACAGTTTCTTTAATATGTATTGAAATTTCACTACTACAATGAAGAATCACCAATTACCATGATGAACAATGCATTCATATTAAAGCACCCAGAGAAGAGTGGAGCGACACTTGAAAGAAAAATACAATAAAACTCTTAGAAAGGGAGATGAGAAATCAAATTTTGCCTTTTGTGATGATTGACCATTGATATATTGGACAATTTCCTAGCTCTTTGAGTTTGGAAACTTTTGATAGAAAAACCATCAAATCAGACAACATTAGAAAGAAAAAAAAAAAAAAAAAGGTAAAAGGCTAACCCCTTATCTCCTTACTTCCCCAAGTAAAGAAAACAATATAAACCATTTAAGATCTTCACAAAAAGAGGGAGTAAATTTAGCAGGACCAAAACCAAAGATTGAAAAGTGGGTTTTAATGTTTATACCTTGAGAAGGATAGAACAAAAGACCTCTCTACTTGCCTTTCATTTTTTCAAGGGGAAAATAAACTTTATCATATCCAAGTAGATATGAGACTATTACAATTTATAATGGGGACTTTCATTTTTTCTATCAATATGGTAATAATACACTAAAGTTTCAAATTTAGAATTTTAATTGATTTTTTACTTAGAATTAATTTATTGACCTAATTAGTAAATAACATTAGATTGAAAAATGGAGTCCAATATTGGTTGGACCTTTCTACCAATCCAGTAATTGAGATAAATTAGATCAATAAATTATATCACAAAACTCAATAGTTTCGATGCCTCTTTTTTTTGGTTAGCTAAACACTTATTATGAAGCAAAAAATAAAAAAAAAATAAAATATCAAACCACTTAGTTGCTGGAGAAGAAGATAAGAGAAAGCATAACAGAATCAAAACGCAAGCATCAAATACTTAGCGGGAAGGAGAGGAGATACCGACCTGGAAACAACTCTTCCAATTATTGTAGATAAAATTCTTCACGAGCACCGTTTTTAATGATTTTGATATGTATCTCAGAAATGTGTGCGATTTTCTTGTAAATCCCACCTTCTTTGCCTCGATTAGACAACTTCTTAATGAATGAATCAGACATATATGATAGATCTAAGAGTTGAAGTTTGGTTAGATGTTCAATTCCTACCGGTACCTTCTCTAATGGACAATAACGAAGGTATAGCATTTCAAGATTGGGCATGGCGCCTTGCTCGACTCTCACCCATCTCAATTCTTGTAAATTATAAAGCTTTAAAATCTTGAGCCTCTGAAACCCTCCAACCTTGAAAAACAAACTCTCTCCAACGCACGCAAAATTCAATTCAAGTTGCAGAAGATTTGGCAAATCTTGTAGGCATTGTATTTGGTCATCCCTTAACTTGCTCTCTCCTAACTGTAATCTAACCAAGCTTTGAAGAGAAAGTATCCAACGTGGTACATTCTCTAGTTGTCCGATCAGTTGCAACTTTTGTAGAAATGGAGGACATGAAGATAAAGATAGCAGATCAAGGAATTCATGTCCTTTAAAAACTGAGCGAACAGTCAATGAACGAAGTTTGCTCAGTTTTGCAAGGGAAGAGCAAAGGGTCATGCCGTCTTCTCTTCTCAACCCTGTAATGTATAAAGTCTTTAGTTGGGTAAGCTTCCCCACTTCTCCCATTATAATGTTGCCATTGCTCTCGTCTGCATCAATTGTACCAAGCTTTTGCAAAGATGACAAATTTCCTATATTCATAGGGGCTTTACAACGAGATTCACGAATTTTGCCCCATCCCAGAAGAAGGTATCGGAGTTTTCGAAGCTCTCCTATGTTGACCGGTAACTCATTTACATTACAATATCTTAGATCCAAGGTCTCCAGGTTCCGAAGCTTTTGAATAGATTTTGGAATGGCTCTCAACCATGTTGCCCTCATGCTTAAATACCTGAGATGAAGTAGTTTACAAACTCCATCTGGGAATGTACCCATCCAAGAATAACTTAAATCTAAAACCTTTAGATACTTACAGCCATCAATTAAACGCGAAAAAAGAGATGTATTTCTTCCTGAATCCATTCTCCCAAATATGGCAAGCGAGCGAAGTTGCCGAAGACACTTGTTTTCTTTTACATCCTCTAAGTTATGTATTGCTAATCCACGGGCTTTGTCAGGCCACCTTATGTCTTGTCCACTGGCTACAATTATAATGTTCTGCTCTCTCAACTTGGGCATGAGGATTTCCCGTAAAAGATCATGAATATGACATGTTCTAGGGCTTCCCTCCCATTTTGTGTCCAGTCGTTGGATTAAACTACCGCTGAGAACTTCATTGAAATAATCGTCAGCAAGTTCTTCTATCATCTTTGGTTCTGTCCATTGCAATTGGATTAAACTTCTGTTGAGAAGTTCATTGAAATATCCCATAGCAACTTCTTCTACAGTCTTTGTTTCTCTCCCTTGCACGAGTCGTAATGTAGTCCACTGTCGAATCAGTCCTGATATATCAATCTCGTAATCCTCAGGAAAAATGCCCAAGTACAAGAAACAATTTTTGAGATAGTAAGGGAGATCATTATAACTGAGATATAATATTTTCTTTATTCTCTCAAATTTGTCATTGTTTTCCAGCTCGTCGCCGAGGCTACAATTGATCATCTCCCACTCTTTTATTGTACTTTTGTCCTTCGATGCCAACACACCACCAATTACCACAATTGCAAGTGGCAATCCCTCACATTTTCTTAATATTTTTCGTGAGTATTCTTCTAACTGTCGAGGGCAACAGGTGTCATTAAATGTCTTCTTACAAAACAGAGCCCAGGACTCTTCATCAGACAAGGCTTTCATGTGGTGGATATGATCACCATGGAAATCTGAGGACGAAGTAGAAGCTACATCATGCATACGAGTTGTGAGTAGTAAGCAAGACTTACAGTTGTTGTTAGGGAATACGTACTTGATGGCTTCCCATGCTTCTATGGTCCATACATCGTCTAACACAACCACATACCTTCGTTCATGGAGGAATTCTTTGATGACTACTTTAAGCTCATTGTCATTCATGGATTCCATTCTTCGAGGCGGGTCTTGCCGTATTTCATCATGGAGTTGGCTGATCATTTTCTTTAGGAGCTCCACTAAGTTAAATGATTCTGAAACAGTGATCCAAGCATGGCTTTGGAATTGTGTTTTCACATGGTTATCGTCAAACACTTTTTTTACGAGCGTGGTTTTGCCCGATCCTCCCATACCCACCACTGAAACCACTCTGAGTCGAGAATCACCACCAAGAACCCAAGTAATGAGTTGTTGTTTCGGCTTCTCGATGCCCACAAGCTCAGATTCTTCTATTAGAAGGGCATTACCTCGACCATCATTCCCTGTGGTGCAAATGAAGGTAGAGCTTGAGCCTTGCTCCGTGATTTGATATCTCCCCGAATTTACCTTAGAAATATTGTCGACTCTAGACTTGATTTTTTGTAGTTCAGAAGCAATTTGATGGCGAGCTTTTAGATTCTTAATGGAGCAAGCAATCTTACGAAGAAAACCTTGGAATCCATCCCCACGAGCATGCCCAAATTGGAGCATGAATTCATCGAGAACATCTTCGGTATCAAAAGCAACATCTTGAACTTGCTCCACCCAAACTTTGAGTTGTGGATCAGTCTCTTTTCTTACATCGGCAACTCTCAAAAAGGCCTGCATTTGTTTCAATTCATCTTTGATGTCCACAAATTCTTCCCGAACACCACCTAAAAGCCTTGCCTCTTCAAGCAAGAAGGGCTTTAGTTGGTCTAGCAGAAAGGATACAGCAAGCTCTGCCATAATTTTGTTCACTTGTGATCTTCAGATAAGTCTTTTGGGTATGTAAAACAGTGATGAAATGGTTGAAGGATGAGGGTAAATACATTGGAAACTTACCATAGCAAATATGCCCCACCCCACACTTTAATATTACCATTACTTTCTTTTCTGCAATTTGAAAAAAGAAGAAGATAAATAAATAAATAAACAAAAGCTTTCAGGCTTGTTAGCTTTCTTGGTTTTGATGAAAGCTTTCAGATAATTGCTGTGATATGTGTACTTCAGTTCACACAAATTTTAAGGTAAAATAAACATTTACACTTAGATTGTGTCTGATCTAATTTACATATTTAGTATTTATTTGGTCTCTGATCTAATTGTGTCTTTTTGGTCATTAAGATTCACAATTTGTATTTATATAGTTCAATTTTAAACCTCCGTCAAAAAAATTATTAACGACTCTGGTCACGAGCCAATTATATGAGACCAAATAGACACAATTAAAAACTTCAGAAATAAAATAGATACAAAATTAGTAATCACGTGATTGGTAATTGATCAGAACTATCACGATTTTTTGACGGACGTTTGAGATTAGACAACGTAGATACAAATTAAAAACCTTAGAAAATAAATAGACACAATTAAAAGATTGAGAACCAAATAAATACTAACTACATTCTTTAGGGACTAAAAATATATTTTATCCTAAATTTTACTCTAACGTATTGTACTTGAGGTTTGTTATTTGAAATGTATTCCTCCTTATTTTATGATTTTTCTATTACTCTATTAATTTTTTTCATTAATCATTGAAAATTATTTAAATTAAAATCAAGGACTCGAATTATTTTTTGGTCCATTACCTCTGCAGTGCAATAGAATTCTCGGTACTGAAAAATAAAAAAGTGGTACTGTAATGCTTACCAAAAGTGGGGTGGCAATCGAGTCATGCAAAGCGTGTTCATGTCATATTATTTATGGGTTTGTATCGATTGTTGGGCACTAGATAATCTTAATGGTCCAATATTATAGACCATTTTAATATTTGAGTTTTCCATTCTATGTAATGCACTTTTTAGCGCAAGGGCAATGCCCCTCCCCCTACCCCCACTAAATAAAAGTGTGTCTGATTATTAATAAAAGGCCTGGTTTAAAATTTTAACACTAACACTAGCCTTACCCTAGGTATTAAATTTTTAACCCTAACCATACGTCAACCCGAGTATTGCCCGAGTTGATTTCGGGCAAGCTCGGGTTGCCTAATTCAGGATTAATTCGAGTTGGTAATTCGGGCTCAACAAACAATAATCTTAAATTAAATGTGAGCCTTTAACATCGAACAATAACATATTTAATAAAAATTTAATTATTGTAATAGAGTAACACCCCAACAACAAAATAAATACTTACATATGGTGCCACTCTGTTTGTGAACCAAAACAGAGGAAAATAATATTGAAGGTTGAAAGGATCGATGAAAATGGAATATCCTTTATTAGAGTAAATTTTGAATGCAACGGTGATACCATGTCACCATTGGTGACATAATATCACTAATGAATAGTAAAACCTCAAATAGGAAAAGTAAACCCCACTTGGGTTTATATGGCAGAAGGATGAATAGTTATTTAATTACATGACATGTTAACTATTGATTTTTATGGGATTCATCTGTTTATTTGTTTTAGTATTATTGGTTGATGATACCACATCACCTTATCACATGGTATCACTATTATAATGAATATTTTGTCCCTTTACTAATGCTTCACTCTCTCTCTCTCTCTCTCTTCATAAAGAAAAATACATAAATAAAGACTATTTTGACTCAGGTGAGGGAGCCAATATCTTGCCTTATTCTGAGAATAATACTATTTAAATCTAAAAATTTGACTTAATTTAATGATATAATGATGTGATTTCATAGAAATATGATAATTACATTTATTTGAAGAAGTTCAAAAGGGTTGAAAAAAAAGAGCTAAATAAACTTATTATTCAGTTAAAATTGTAATTTTCACTAATAAATTCAAGAAGCGTGTAAATATAATTTTGAAGTAAGACATAGATGAGTCATTATACCTGTTTTTTCTTTGGTTTTCTAAGTAAACGCCCTTGGATGTTTCATTCATGGGCTTTGGTTAATTGTGAAAATGTTGATTAGTCATACATTTTTACGTCATTCCTTACGATACCAAACATGAAAATCTAAATACAGATGAGTCATTATGTTTGTTTTTTCAAAGTATACATCCTTGGCTGTTTCATTCATGGGGTCAGGTTAATTGCACAAGTCTTATTTTGTGTCAAGCTGTGAAGCAGACTTTATGGGATTAATCATACAAACAAACAAACAAGCTTAACAAATATACCTAAAATTAAGAGTAAATTACATTTCATCTCCCTAAACTATTACCCTTGTTTCACTTTGTACCCTTAACTTCTCACATTATATTCTAGAGTATTAATTTTATTTCATATCATTCCAGTAGATAATGAAAAACTTGAATATCTTTCAAATGAGCGAGGAAAACTCAAAGTGCTTCACGTCAAGTGTCTATTACCACGTTATTTTATCTCTTTTGCAACGAAATGGTTGTTGGAAAAAAAAAGAAAGTAGGTCAAAGAAAAAAAATTTAGAGTTTAGAAAGGACAAAGTTATAGATAGTTATTTTTCTTGATTTTTGACCGGTAAATGTGCAATAAATAGTTTCTTATCGGCACTATAGACAACTCACTTGTGCATTTACTGTAAAAAAAAATTGACATTCTTTATCAATTGGAGTGGTATAAAACAAAATTAATATTTTAAGGTGCAATATGAGAACTTTTATAATTGACAGTACAAAGTATAATAAGAGTAATAATTCAAGGGATAAAATCTAATTTACCCTAAAATTAAAACTGATTTAGGGTGCAACACAAAGATTAGCTATACATTTTACATCATTCCTTACGACACATAACATATAAGTCTATGCACGTTGTCTGTTTAAATCTATAATTTCCACTATCAATAGCTTAATAAACTCAAAGAGCGTGGAAATATGGTGATGATGTAGGTCATAGATGAGTCATTATGTCTATTTTTTCTAAGTAAGCATCCTTGGATGTTTCATTCATGGGGCAAGCTGTGAAGCTCAGTTTGTGGCATTGATCATACAAACAAGCAAGCTTAACAAATACACCTAAAATTGAAACTGGTTTAAGCTTCGTTTGTAGGATGAAAGAATAGAAAGATGAAAATTTAAAGGACAAATAAAATATAATATTTGCTAAAGAAAAAATAATAGGAACAATGGAAAAGTGGTATGATTAGTTTTTTTTTTAACCCACTAAAATATTTCCCTCCAAAATTAGGAAAAAAATAGATGAAAATTTGAACAGGAGGGGAATTCAATATGAATGGTTTTGAGTAGAATGTTGGTGGCCGTTGGATGAGTCTATTTGAGAACATTAAATAAACTTATTGAAATCTGTCATGTTTTATATTATAGATATATTAAGTGTACATTAATTTTATATAGTGATACAATTAAAATGACATGTTTATAGAAGAGCGAATAATGCACTATTAAAGAAGAGTGATTTGATACTCATCGATGGTAATGCGAACAGTAGGTATAGGGCTAAAATAATTGTGAACAAAAAAGTTAAAAATGATAGAATGTATGGTCGGACAGAGAATAATGAAAAAACATGATTCATGTAGTCAACTGCAAATAATAGGGATTAAAAATTTGTTGAGTTATAGATAAAATGGTAAAACAATCATTCATATTTTTTTCTTCCTTTCCATTTTCCATCCATACCAAATACCAATATATATATATATATATAAAGAGAGAGAGAGAGAGAGAGAGAGATATAAAACATTTTTGGTCCTTAAATTATAAGCTTTGTGTCAATTTGGTCCCTAATATTTTAATTATATCAATTTGGTCTCAATTTTTTAATTAGTGTCACTTTTGTCAAATCGAAAACAACTATTAGAATTTACTAATAGAGATCATCACATGCATCTCATGTGATCACACTTGAGGCACATTTTTTGAAAACTTTAGGAACTAAAGTGACAAACTGCGAATTTTAAGGACCAAAATGATACAAATTCAAAGATTATGGATCAAACTGACATAAAATGCATAATTTGGGGCCCAAAAAAAGTATTTAATAAAAAAATAAAAAATCAATTATTCTTATTATTCATCATTCCTACCAAGCACCAAAGATAAAAGAAAGGATTCCTTCGTTGAAAAATAGAAAGTATATCACTTATACTTTCAATTCTTCTAACTCTTCACCTACCCTACCAAACACATCATTAGAGTATAACATAAACTTAGTCATACATTTAAGTCATTCCTTACGACATAGAAAATAAAAGTCTATATGGTTCTGATGTAGGACATAGATGAGTCATTATGTCTCTGTTTTCTTTGTTTTTTTTATAAGTAGCCATCCTTGGATGTTTCATTCATGCTGTTAGGTTAATTGCAGAGAATTTGTTTTGCTGTCGAGGTGTGAAGCTGACTTTATTGGATTGATCATACAAAAAAACAAAGCATAGTGTGATCCAGCACATACATGCATACTCCAATAGGTAGAAATAATTATTTATTGGAATATTAAAATCAGTGGTAAGGTGGTTGGGTTGTGTCATGAAGGATCATTTCCTGGTATCTTCCCTGGAATTGCCACAGCAAAGACAGGGTTCCTTCCTCTAACATATTGTTTATAAAGTGGCATAGGATCTTATTTGTGTAAATAGGCTTTTCAATGAATTTGATTTTGATTTGAATTCAGATTCAAAAAGTCTAATACGAGTTTATACTTCTAACTGATAATCTAAATTTGAATTTCAATATGAATTTATATTTATGTTTGATAATCCAAATTTGAATTTGTTCAATTATATTTTACAGATTGTGATTTGAATATACGAATATTCAATCTAATTGTGATCCATTCCGAATTCTACATCTGTATACAAATAGATTATTGGATTGAGTTACTATTTTATGAAATTGAATTCAAATTTAGATGTGACTTGCTACTATTAAGCTTAATTGAGCTATTTGGATGCAGTAAATATAAAGATGAAATCCACACAAGCA